CTCCGCGCCACTCGGGAGGGGGGAGGAAGGGGCGGCTGGACCCCCCCGCCGCCCTCGGCTGCTGCCGGAGACCAGCTGCCGCTTCTGGCTGCTCTTCTGGTTCTGCCTCGCACGCTCGGTCGGACAGGCACACAGCGAGCGACAGGGTCTCCGCCGGGGGAGGCGGGCAGCCTGGGAGATGGGGCGCGCAAGGGCCCTCGCCCCTGGCACAGCCCTGCTCCCTCCAAGGGGGCAGCCCCGTCTTCTTCGGTGGGGCCAATAGGCGAAGAGCTGCACGGGTTGTGCGTGTTTACCGGCCTTCCTGCACTGCTGATTTCTCCCCCCTGCGTGAGTTTCCCACTTTAATTATGTTTCCTCCCCCTCCCCTTTCTCCCGCTGCTTCCACTTCCCTTTAACTTCTTTTCTGCAGCTGCCTGTGCTTCCTACAATTTTTCCTTTCTCAGTCCTCAGGGCCACCACTTCACTTCTCAGAATCCCTCCACTCCTTTTTGGTCAGGTAGATATAGCTCTCTCTCTCTCTCTCTCTCTCTCTCTCATATATATATGGCAGATGTATATATATATCTATATTTGTATCTATATGTGCATGCAGAGGCCCAAGTCCATTTGCTGAAGGAAAATGACACCTGCTGGTCATCTTAAAAAGGTTTGCCCGCAGTTGGGAGACCAGCCACCAGCTCATAGCTAAACATTGCCAGGGTAGCTTAAAAGCAGCTGAAAAATCCTCTTTAAGTGTCCTTGTTGCCAAAAATACTAAAAAGGTGCCCAGGTAGAATTTGGAGAGCAACACTTTAGCCAAAAGAAAGAAAAGGCCAGCAGCTGCAGGAGGCGCTGGGGTTGCCCTCGCTGAAGCCCGACTTGGGACGTGGACAGGCCGTGTCATGGGGAAGCCCCCTGACTCTTCTTCCTTTGTGTCTCCCCCCCCCCCACAGTATTCACACCTCGGGCCATCGGGACTGCAGTGGCGAGGTACAACTTTGCTGCTCGGGACATGCGGGAGCTCTCCTTGCAGGAAGGGGATGTGGTGAAGATCTACAGCCGGATCGGCGGGGACCAAGGCTGGTGGAAGGGAGAGGCCAATGGCAGAGTAAGCACCCCCTTGAAAGGGCGCTGTCCTCCCTCTTGCACAGCTCTGGGCAGAGGCCGGCCACTTGCAGAGAATGTGGAGGCAGGCTGGAGCTGCAGCCTGCCAGCCCTCTCCTGTCTGAATTGGGGAGGGGGCCATCCAGCCGAGGGCAGCCAAGGGTGCATCTTCCCAGATGTGGGAAGTGGCTCCTCAGCCTGCGCACCAGGCCAGCACTGGGCCCTGCTTTCTCAAGACCGTCCAGGAGCCCCTGACCGCCTCAGCTGTAAAGCCCCACCAGGCCTGGCCTGGGCCCTCTGCCCCACTGCGGCTGCCCATCCTGACGTCCGCTTCCTCCTCTCTTGTAGATTGGCTGGTTCCCTTCAACCTACGTGGAGGAGGAGGGGGTGCAGTGATGTCCGCGTTGGCAGGTGCTTAGCGTCCTCGCGAGCAGCCCCAGCCCACCTCTGGGCCTCCAAGGGAAACACACTGTCCTTCCTCCTGTGCAAAGAAGAGAGCCTCACGTGGGCCCGTTTTACAATCTGTGGGTGTGAGTGCATAAGCGGGCACATGCAGCAGTGCGGCTGGGTGCATGTGTGTGCGTGGGCAAGGCACGGCTGCTTCTCTCCCACTGTCTTCCTTGCACGTACGATCCAAACGTTGGATGTCAAGCGTTGTTTGCAGAAAGCCACGAAGCCACTGGGAGCCTCTGGGAAGCCTCCAAGGCCCGGTTGGCCTGGCCAGCAAGTGGCTGTGCTACAAAGCCCTCTGAGTAGTGGAAGATGGGCTTGGTGGTGTCTCACACTTGGGTGGGATACTGGAGAAGAGATGCTTCTTTTGGATTCGGGAGGAGCAAGAGGACATTTGAAGGGGTATCCTTAGCTTAAGAATGTTGCAAGGGGGGTTCTGCAAGTCCCAGTGTCCTTCTCCCAGCGGCCGTGGGCCATGGGCCAGCTGAAGCTACCACAAGTGTCAGTGGACCCCTTTGCTGTCCAGAGGAAAGAGCTCATCTGGGGACCCAGGGCCACCAGCTGCCCCCCCCCCCCCCCCCCCC